AATAAATTACATATTGAAGTTAGTTGTGTCTGTCATACGACATGCATTATATACTACTGACATTGTAAATGCATTGTAAATACATTAGTAGCGAGAAAGTTTTACCTGACAACAATGAGTTTGATAAAATCTTTCGGTTCTACTATAACACAATAATACTCTCGCGCTCTGAGGGCTGCGCATGATAACACCCGAACGTAATGAGGGGGTTTGCGCAGCCTGATAGAGTGAGAGAGTATTATCAGTTATAATAACTATAAGCACCGCGGGTACTGTAGTCTCTAACATAAGATCTCGTTACCATGGTAACACTGCTAGTTACCCTAGTAACACTGGGTACTGTAGTCTCTAACATAAGATTTAACAAGTCCCACAACTAAGGGGACACACTTTCTCCCTCAGGTATTTGTTAGTCTGACAGTGTCCTCTCTGTTTCCATATCCTACAGACTCTATCCTTCTCCTGATCCCTGCACTCAGCTCCACACAACCCACATGTTCTCTTACACTGGGTACTCATTGCGGTTACATACTCTGTCTTACTGCAGTACCCAGCAGACTTGTAGTAACTACACAAGCTCTTGGCCGAGTTGTCAATACATAGTGTCTTCTCCGCGGAGTCAGGTAGAGTGGTGTTAACTGCAGGAGAGCACACCCCGCATGTTTTAGCACAGTACTTGAGCAGCTCCCCATCAGAAGGTAACTGGTTGCTAGGTAACTGGTTGCTAGGTAACTTGAGCAGCTCCTCATCAGAACTGCACCTCCAGCTCCACTCCTGACAACTCTCTGTCCTGTACAAGTCTACACAGTTCTCATCTGTGATGGGTTCACAGAGACCACAGGTTTCCGCACACCCAGTCAGTATCTTCATGTTTCTGCTGCAACTCTCGAACCTGAAGAGGAGACTGTGAGTGTACGATAGAGAATTAGCGAATTGGGCTGAGAAAACGAATGTGAGTTATATTCGAGTATTAGCGGTAAATGTCCGTGGTACCGGGTTATAGGTGCAAAATAAAAGAAAGCAGATTAATCAACATACAGTGTGTGTGTGTGTGTGTGTGTTGTGTGAGTTGTGTGTGTTGTACCTGTGAGCTGCTGCACAAGTTTTCGCCCCCAAAGTGTCCCTACACTTCTCCTGACACACCTCACAAGTCTTCCTGCACCAGTTCCTTATTGACTCGTTTAGTGAACAGTAGCCTTTATCTTTCCATAGCTGGCAGCTTGCCCAATCGTACTCATCTTCACATGTTTCTTCTTTATCTTCTCTTTCTTTCTTATCTTCTATCCCACCCTTAGCAGATTCCTTCTTAGCCACATATCCATTTTCTATTTCCTCCTCCTTCTTCTCCTCCTCCTCCTCCTCCCCATTGCACGCCCCACAAGTCTTCTGGCACACTTCCAGTACATTGTCTCTGTTGCAGCCCCCCAGATCCCTCCAGGATCCACAGATCTGAGGGTCGTATTGGTCCTCACACTCGGAGGAAGAGGCGCTGGGGGTCGGGGAAGAGGCGCACATTTGACACGTGTTCCTGCAGAACTCCTGTACTGTCCTGTTAGAACACTGTCCGTTTTTCTTATAGTAGCTACACAGCGAGTACACCTGGTATGTTGACACTCAGTACTTGAGTAGTTTTTACTTGGTAAACTGAATAACGTACGCATATCAAACGTCAAAGGAGTTCGAATCCTTTTAATAACAGCCTCTACACTATATACTAAGCTATATCATTACCATAGTAGTGATGCATTTTCACGGAAACTGAATCAATATCAAAGCTATATTTTAGTTCGCATCTATTAGAAAATAGAATGTTACACGTGTTCCTCGCTAACCTGCTTATCGGTGCAGCTCATGTCAACACTACATTTAGGCCTGCACTGATTGTCGATCTGGGCATCAGTACCGTCTTTACACTTCATTGATATGTTCCTGCAGTCGCACACAACCACGTTGTCTTTGTCGCATCTGCATACCTTTCAAAAAAGGTGCTTGTTTTCAATTTATAACACAGATTCGCCAAATGAAATTAACAATTTAATTCGATGTAATAAAACAAAATTACATACTTTTTTCATTTTAAAATTACATGACAGCAGGGACAAATGAAAATCGCAATTATTTTACCAAAAAATCGCGATACAGCGATTTAAAAAAAACTATACATAAGACTATAAATAAAATTTGTCGCAAATAATGGGAAAAATCGCGATTCCGCACAAGCCGCGATTTCCTTTTGTCCCTGCATGACAGCATTACGAATAAAATATAAATATCAGCCATATCTCTGATACCTTGATCGTTACGGGTAGTCTAGTTGTAGTCTATATTATATCTAGTTGCAGTCTCTATTATATCTAGTTGTAGTCTCTATTATACCTAGTTGTAGTCTCTATTATATCTAGTTGTAGTCTATATTATATCTAGTTGTAGTTTCTATTATATCTAGTTGTAGTCTCTATTATATCTAGTTGCAGTCTCCATTATATCTAGTTGTAGTCTCTATTATATCTAGTTTTAGTCTCTATTATATCTAGTTTTAGTCTCTATTATATCTAGTTGTAGTCTCTATTATATCTAGTTTTAGTATCTATTATATCTAGTTGTAGTCTCTATTATATCTAGTTGTAGTCTCTATTATATCTAGTTGTAGTCTCTATTATATCTAGTTGTAGTCTCTATTATATCTAGTTGTAGTCTCTATTATATCTAGTTGTAGTCTCCATTATATCTAGTTATAGTCTCTATTATATCTAGTTATAGTCTCTATTATGTCTAGTTGTAGTCTCTATTATATCTAGTTGTAGTCTCTATTATATCTAGTTGTAGTCTCTATTATATCTAGTTGTAGTCTCTATTATATCTAGTTGTAGTCTCTATTATATCTAGTTGTAGTCTCTATTATATCTAGTTGTGGTCTCTATTATATCTAGTTGTAGTCTCTATTATATCTAGTTGTAGTCTCTATTATATCTAGTTGTGGTCTCTATTATATCTAGTTGTAGTCGCTATTATATCTAGTTGTAGTCTCTATTATGTCTAGTTGTAGTCTCTATTATATCTAGTTGTAGTCTCTATTATATCTAGTTTTAGTCTCTATTATATCTAGTTGTAGTCTCTAATATATCTAGTTGTAGTCTCTATTATATCTTGTTGTAGTCTCCATTATATCTAGTTGTAGTCTCCATTATATCTAGTTGTAGTCTCCATTATATCTAGTTGTAGTCTCTATTATATCTAGTTGTAGTCTCTAATATATCTAGTTGTAGTCTCTATTATGTCTAGTTGTAGTCTCTATTATATCTAGTTGTAGTCTCTATTATATCTAGTTTTAGTCTCTATTATATCTAGTTGTAGTCTCTAATATATCTAGTTGTAGTCTCTATTATATCTAGTTGTAGTCTCTATTATATCTAGTTGTAGTCTCTATTATATCTAGTTGTAGTCTCTATTATATCTAGTTGTAGTCTCTATTATATCTTGTTGTAGTCTCTATTATATCTAGTTGTAGTCTCTATTATATCTAGTTGTAGTCTCTATTATATCTAGTTGTAGTCTCTATTATATCTAGTTGTAGTCTCTTTTATATTTAGTTGTAGTCTCTATTATATCTAGTTGTAGTCTCTATAATATCTCATACTTAGTTTTTACCTTATCATTGCCTACAAAGACGGAATTGTTCCCAGGAATCAGTGTCCCGTCCTCCATTCTACAGTGGGGATATCCAGAACACTCCAAATACAGTCGTCTTCTCTCAACACATCTCCCAACTGTGCACGTGCTGAAATCGCGCGCATCATCCGGACACGTGACATTGAAGGACCAGGAGCTTTTATTTTCTTGCAGGGTGCTCTTTTTTCTAACTTCCCCTCCAGTTGCATATCCTCCCCACTTACAAGCAGCCTGAATAAGCGCTCTGTTGCCAGCACAGACATTCAACCACTGGTTTTTAACCTTTATCTCCAAGTAGCCTTCTCTCTCAGTGCTCCCTTCTGTCAGTCTTATTTCGTTACTAAGAGTAGAGGAGAGAAAGAGAAGGAAACAGTACAAAACACTGCCTCTCACTATAAATCCCAACATTTAACAAGTGCTTCGACTAGTGAACAACAAGAAAACAAGATTAAACTAGACTCTGAAAATACAGTAATGAATAACTATCTGCATATTAACCTATTACTACCTATACTGCATGTATTACCTAACCTGGTGACCTAATACGCTTCCTGAGATAATTGTTCCACTAGTGCAATTTAAACCATCCCTTGAGAAGAGCCTGTTTAACCGCTCTATTTAACCGCTAATAGACTACTACTGAGCACGCCTTGCTCAGTAGTATGATGTTTTGCTAGGATGACCGTACTTTTCATTAACTTTAATCGTTCTTTCAAATGAAAAAGCTCAGTATGTGGTTAATTACTGTCTACTTATACTACTACTACTAGTTACATGTCAGCCAATTAAGAGAAACTAAAAATGAAAACATCAACTTCCCACTAACAAGCATTTCTCCAGCAAATCAGGAAGCGGTCAGGAAACTACAAGGGGGGGGGGGGGGGCAAACAATGTAAAACTTGTAAACATTAGACAAGGCTGATCATCAGTAATTAATAATGCTAAAAACCTGGCAGTTTATTTCCGCTACCGTCACTTTTTAATACTTTAATAGGCAATGGAATGATTAAGTGATTAATTAAAATAAGTCTGACTGATATATTAAATACCACCTAGGGTGTATTAAAAACGATCATGTAGTGTTCCCACAGATGCTATCTGGAGATCACTTCAACTGAAGAAGGTACAACTACTCACTAAGTCACCACTCACTACTACAACAAGTGAGACTACTTAAGTCACTACTCATTACTACAACAAGTGAGGAAGTTTAATACTTTCAACACTACTATATAACAAATAATTTGAGAATTCTATTCAGAAAAAATCAGAAATTTGAATAAAAGAACTATAAAATCATGAGACTCAATAACACTACACGAATCCACCAGATTACAACAAGTGCGGAAGTATTAAGTGGAATAACCTATAGTGAAGTAACCTATAGCTACTACTCACTTACTCACTACTACAACAAGTGAGGAAGTATTAATAACCTCGCTAACAGAGGGATAATGACTATCGGGAGGCAGGACAGTAACAGTAAGGATGAGGGCAAGAAAACCTTCACTTTCTCCAAGACAGGAACTTTACCTACTTTAGAGCGACTGCTCGGGGAGATGGCATCCTTAGAGGAGCAGACTCAGGATTTAGAGGTTAGTTTCGCAGTGTTAGAGGAACAGACTCAGGATTTAGAGGTTAGTTTCACAGTGTTAGAGGAGCAGACTCAGGATTTAGAGGTTAGTTTCACAGTGTTAGAGGAGCAGATTCAGGATTTAGAGGTTAGTTTCACAGTGTTAGAGGAGCAGACTCAGGATTTAGAGGTTAGTTTCACAGTGTTAGAGGAGCAGACTCAGGATTTAGAGGTTAGTTTCACAGTGTTAGAGGAGCAGACTCAGGATTTAGAGGTTAGTTTCACAGTGTTAGAGGAACAGACTCAGGATTTAGAAATTAGTTTCACAGTGTTAGAGGAGCAGACTCAGGATTTAGAGGTTAGTTTCACAGTGTTAGAGGAACAGACTCAGGATTTAGAGGTTAGTTTCACAGTGTTAGAGGAGCAGACTCAGGATTTAGAGGTTAGTTTCACAGTGTTAGAGGAGCAGACTCAGGATTTAGAGGTTAGTTTCACAGTGTTAGAGGAGCAGACTCAGGATTTAGAGGTTAGTTTCACAGTGTTAGAGGAGCAGACTCAGGATTTAGAGGTTAGTTTCACAGTGTTAGAGGAACAGACTCAGGATTTAGAAATTAGTTTCACAGTGTTAGAGGAGCAGACTCAGGATTTAGAGGTTAGTTTCACAGTGTTAGAGGAACAGACTCAGGATTTAGAGGTTAGTTTCACAGTGTTAGAGGAGCAGACTCAGGATTTAGAGGTTAGTTTCACAGTGTTAGAGGAGCAGACTCAGGATTTAGAGGTTAGTTTCACAGTGTTAGAGGAGCAGACTCAGGATTTAGAGGTTAGTTTCACAGTGTTAGAGGAGCAGACTCAGGATTTAGAGGTTAGTTTCACAGTGTTAGAGGAGCAGACTCAGGATTTAGAGGTTAGTTTCACAGTGTTAGAGGAACAGACTCAGGATTTAGAGGTTAGTTTCACAGTGTTAGAGGAGCAGACTCAGGATTTAGAGGTTAGTTTCACAGTGTTAGAGGAGCAGACTCAGGATTTAGAGGTTAGTTTCACAGTGTTAGAGGAGCAGACTCAGGATTTAGAGGTTAGTTTCACAGTGTTAGAGGAACAGATTCAGGATTTAGAGGTTAGTTTCACAGTGTTAGAGGAGCAGACTCAGGATTTAGAGGTTAGTTTCACAGTGTTAGAGGAACAGACTCAGGATTTAGAGGTTAGTTTCACAGTGTTAGAGGAGCAGACTCAGGATTTAGAGGTTAGTTTCACAGTGTTAGAGGAACAGACTCAGGATTTAGAGGTTAGTTTCACAGTGTTAGAGGAACAGACTCAGGATTTAGAGGTTAGTTTCACAGTGTTAGAGGAGCAGACTCAGGATTTAGAGGTTAGTTTCACAGTGTTAGAGGAGCAGACTCAGGATTTAGAGGTTAGTTTCACAGTGTTAGAGGAGCAGACTCAGGATTTAGAGGTTAGTTTCACAGTGTTAGAGGAACAGACTCAGGATTTAGAGGTTAGTTTCACAGTGTTAGAGGAGCAGACTCAGGATTTAGAGGTTAGTTTCACAGTGTTAGAGGAGCAGACTCAGGATTTAGAGGTTAGTTTCACAGTGTTAGAGGAGCAGACTCAGGATTTAGAGGTTAGTTTCACAGTGTTAGAGGAGCAGACTCAGGATTTAGAGGTTAGTTTCACAGTGTTAGAGGAGCAGACTCAGGATTTAGAGGTTAGTTTCACAGTGTTAGAGGAACAGACTCAGGATTTAGAGGTTAGTTTCACAGTGTTAGAGGAGCAGACTCAGGATTTAGAGGTTAGTTTCACAGTGTTAGAGGAGCAGACTCAGGATTTAGAGGTTAGTTTCACAGTGTTAGAGGAGCAGACTCAGGATTTAGAGGTTAGTTTCACAGTGTTAGAGGAACAGACTCAGGATTTAGAGGTTAGTTTCACAGTGTTAGAGGAGCAGACTCAGGATTTAGAGGTTAGTTTCACAGTGTTAGAGGAGCAGACTCAGGATTTAGAGGTTAGTTTCACAGTGTTAGAGGAGCAGACTCAGGATTTAGAGGTTAGTTTCACAGTGTTAGAGGAGCAGACTCAGGATTTAGAGGTTAGTTTCACAGTGTTAGAGGAGCAGACTCAGGATTTAGAGGTTAGTTTCACAGTGTTAGAGGAGCAGACTCAGGATTTAGAGGTTAGTTTCACAGTGTTAGAGGAACAGACTCAGGATTTAGAGGTTAGTTTCACAGTGTTAGAGGAGCAGACTCAGGATTTAGAGGTTAGTTTCACAGTGTTAGAGGAACAGACTCAGGATTTAGAGGTTAGTTTCACAGTGTTAGAGGAGCAGACTCAGGATTTAGAGGTTAGTTTCACAGTGTTAGAGGAGCAGACTCAGGATTTAGAGGTTAGTTTCACAGTTTTAGAGGAGCAGACTCAGGATTTAGAGGTTAGTTTCACAGTTTTAGAGGAGCAGACTCAGGATTTAGAGATTAGTTTCACAGTGTTAGAGGAGCAGACTCAGGATTTAGAGGTTAGTTTCACAGTGTTTGAGGAGCAGACTCAGGATTTAGAGGTTAGTTTCACAGGGTTAGAGGAGCAGACTCAGGATTTAGAGGTTAGTTTCACAGTGTTAGAGGAGCAGACTCAGGATTTAGAGGTTAGTTTCACAGTGTTAGAGGAGCAGACTCAGGATTTAGAGGTTAGTTTCACAGTGTTAGAGGAGCAGACTCAGGATTTAGAGGTTAGTTTCACAGTGTTAGAGGAGCAGACTCAGGATTTAGAGGTTAGTTTCACAGTGTTAGAGGAGCAGACTCAGGATTTAGAGGTTAGTTTCACAGTGTTAGAGGAGCAGACTCAGGATTTAGAGGTTAGTTTCACAGTGTTTGAGGAGCAGACTCAGGATTTAGAGGTTAGTTTCACAGTGTTAGAGGAGCAGACTCAGGATTTAGAGGTTAGTTTCACAGTGTTAGAGGAGCAGACTCAGGATTTAGAGGTTAGTTTCACAGTGTTAGAGGAACAGACTCAGGATTTAGAGGTTAGTTTCACAGTGTTAGAGGAGCAGACTCAGGATTTAGAGGTTAGTTTCACAGTGTTAGAGGAACAGATTCAGGATTTAGAGGTTAGTTTCACAGTGTTAGAGGAGCAGACTCAGGATTTAGAGGTTAGTTTCACAGTGTTAGAGGAACAGACTCAGGATTTAGAGGTTAGTTTCACAGTGTTAGAGGAGCAGACTCAGGATTTAGAGGTTAGTTTCACAGTGTTAGAGGAGCAGACTCAGGATTTAGAGGTTAGTTTCACAGTTTTAGAGGAGCAGACTCAGGATTTAGAGGTTAGTTTCACAGTTTTAGAGGAGCAGACTCAGGATTTAGAGGTTAGTTTCACAGTGTTAGAGGAGCAGACTCAGGATTTAGAGGTTAGTTTCACAGTGTTTGAGGAGCAGACTCAGGATTTAGAGGTTAGTTTCACAGTGTTAGAGGAGCAGACTCAGGATTTAGAGGTTAGTTTCACAGTGTTAGAGGAGCAGACTCAGGATTTAGAGGTTAGTTTCACAGTGTTAGAGGAGCAGACTCAGGATTTAGAGGTTAGTTTCACAGTGTTAGAGGAGCAGACTCAGGATTTAGAGGTTAGTTTCACAGTGTTAGAGGAGCAGACTCAGGATTTAGAGGTTAGTTTCACAGTGTTAGAGGAGCAGACTCAGGATTTAGAGGTTAGTTTCACAGTGTTAGAGGAGCACACTCAGGATTTAGAGGTTAGTTTCACAGTGTTTGAGGAGCAGACTCAGGATTTAGAGGTTAGTTTCACAGTGTTAGAGGAGCAGACTCAGGATTTAGAGGTTAGTTTCACAGTGTTAGAGGAACAGACTCAGGATTTAGAGGTTAGTTTCACAGTGTTAGAGGAGCAGACTCAGGATTTAGAGGTTAGTTTCACAGTGTTAGAGGAGCAGACTCAGGATTTAGAGGTTAGTTTCACAGTGTTAGAGGAGCAGACTCAGGATTTGGAGGTTAGTTTCACAGTGTTAGAGGAGCAGACTCAGGATTTAGAGGTTAGTTTCACAGTGTTAGAGGAGCAGACTCAGGATTTAGAGGTTAGTTTCACAGTGTTAGAGGAACAGACTCAGGATTTAGAGGTTAGTTTCACAGTGTTAGAGGAGCAGACTCAGGATTTAGAGGTTAGTTTCACAGTGTTAGAGGAGCAGACTCAGGATTTAGAGGTTAGTTTCACAGTGTTAGAGGAGCAGACTCAGGATTTAGAGGTTAGTTTCACAGTGTTTGAGAAGGAAACTGAATACACCAGTGCTTATTAGCTTATTGTCACAATGATGAACACCTTATCCTGCTCAGCAATGAGTTTTACAGCTCTGTTTTCTTCATTTAGATTATTATAGGGTTATTGGTAACTATGGTAACCATATTATTATAGGGTTTGCTTACAAGTGAGCAGGCCCGGAATTTGTATTCTCTTCTACATTACAACGTGTACATGTACTATGTATTATACTAACGTGTACCTTATTTATAAGGAGCTTAGTTTCGACTGATAGAGCGGAGAAAACTGAACAACATTATGAAATGAATTTTATTTTTTGCAGTCGATATTCCTCAAAGGGATTACGGCTAATAAACTATTCAAGTTTTTTAATTGAGTTAAGTTATGAATTGAATATATTTGTCTAGTGTTACTATCATGATGACCTAATAAAATATTAACCCACAGAAAAAGAAAGAAGAGATGAAAGTTATGATAGAACTGAACAAGAAGCTAAAAACAAGGAATCACTTTCTTGAAAGAGAGAACAATGTGAGGACATATTGTATACTTTATAATACTCCTCGCTATATTTTCACAGAAAGTTTTCTTTTTCATCTCATTATTTAGAGATAAAGACTGAAACTGAGTAAGTTACCATAGTTACAGAATTAGTTACCATAGTAAAACAACTGAGTAATACTACTAGTTCTCCGCAGACCCTTAAGCTAGATAAAAGCTCCCACAGCACCAGATCGTTTGATGTAAGCGGAGTTGTGAAGAGTGTGGGGTCCTCTGATGTGGAACTAGTGGTCTTCAACAGGTAGTTTAATGTTTACTACTACAACTCACTGCACTAGTATTATATTGCTTTATATATAGTAAGATATTGCCGCGTGCTAAAAGAAAAAGAGAAAAGGTAATGTTTTTTAAAGCATCGCAACGAGAATCGAAACAGTGACACTTTACGTAGCGGGGGGGGGGGGGGGGGGGGGGGGCGCCAACAGGCAACGTTACGCCACTTTACGTAGCCTGGTTCGCTTTAATATTTCAATGGATGGAAATGTAACGAAACAGAAAGTGTTACTACTTGTTGTTATAACAGAAAGGATAATATTGTTTAACATAAAGTGGTGTTTAGTCAATAAACACGTAAACAGCGTCACGGAGTTTAGTTCGTCACGGAGTTACCCTAATTTAAATTACAGTCTGATATCGTGGACTAACGCTGTTGAAAGTACTGACACAATACCATTTAGTGCACCAAATCATGCTCCTTTATAATAACTAATCATGCTCCTTTCGACTTTGAAGAAGCCCCCTCGAAACTTGACGTTCTAGCCAATAAGCCGCTTCTGTAAGTTGTAACTGCAACTTTTAGGGTTCTGTATTTGAGTGGTGTACACTGTTACTACTACATAATTATGTTGCAGTGTAAAATTGAGCTATCCCTCTGCGTGCTCCTTTATAATAACTAATCATGCTCACACTATTCTGTACCTCTCAAGAACTTGAAGTTTAATATCGTAGATGTTCTATCCTCTTTTACTCTACTATTTGTGTATTTAGACGATTGAACATTGAACAATCGTCTCACTTTAGCCATGTTTCCTGACAGTTTCGTATTGTGCGCGTCACTATAGTAACCCATGGTCACACGTGCATTGTAGGAGCTGTAATAATTAACAATTCCTCTTGTGTCAGAATACATTACCACTCCTCCATTATCAGTACTAGTATTATCATTCTACTAACAATAGGAAACTACAGTTATCATATTATATCACATTTTCCTCTGTATTCACTTATTCCTAACTCTACAATCTAGTATCTTTGTAATTGTGCTACTATTTCCTGATTTTCCTTACCTAGCTCAAAGCTTTGTTAACATGTACATAGTAGTGTCTACTAGCGAGTGACATTGAACTTGAATGAGCTATGTACGGATCCGGATCTTACTTGAATTTGAGGTAAGAAGTTAATTAATTAGTTTATTAATTAGTTAATTTATTGATTAAATTAATAGATTTGAGATTTCTTCTTGCTTATCAATTAATCATTGTGTGTGAACTGTATGATTATATTGTAATATGATATTTTGAATCGTCTTTATGAAGAGATTATGCACTTATAATGAGCAACTAAAGTCGGCTAGCATTTTACTTACTTTTGAAGTAACTCTTTGTTTGTAGACTAGTTTAATAGTCGTATGCTGCAGTACAGTAAGTTATCAAATTAATGCGAACATTATTAAGGATAAAGTAGTCACTCGCCAGCCCTTATAATCCTATAAAATAACTCGTTTAAGTTTTCTTTACTGGCCGTCAGGTATTTTAAGTTTTGTGTTATCTTGTAAAGTCTAGCGGCTCAAAGTGCTCACTTTAAAGATTAATCAGCAATGATATGGTTAATGTATTTAAAGAAAGCTGGCCTCAAAATTTAAATGAGTTCGTTTCTTAGTATTTAGTAAGTTGCTGTACAGTTGTTTTAGTTATCGTCCGATGCCTGGTATTTTGAGATGTCTTTGTTTTTGTTCATTTTCTGATATCAGATTTGAAACACTTAGAACTGTGTAACTTTTTTAATATTAAACTCTGCAGTAGTAGCAGTAGTAGAAGTAGTAAACTCTGCAGAATTGCTACTGTAATGATTCCTAACTCAAGGAGCTTAATAAACAAAAACTCTAGTTGAGTAGCGATGTGACCCCCCCCCCCTCTCCTGTAGATTAATCAGGAGGGTAATGTAAATGATTTCATTACAATATTCATGATAAATGTGCAAAGTTGATCTCGTTAACCATTTCGTAGCTTGTGTATCACAATGTAAGTTTACTTTTTATTTCGTGTTTATTACTAAAATTACTAAAATTACTAAACGTTCAACTCCTCATATAGTCCAGCCAGTGAGTCGAGTGGCGTCACTATAGTAACCCATGGTCACACGTGCATTGTAGTGGCAAAACGTACTTTTCCCTCACAGGTCACGTAAATATATAGTTTATATTAGTTCCCGCTAAATATAAACAAGAAAATAAGACCGGCCGATGATTTGTTTTCCTCTGTTTAGTATATAACAGCATATTATGTAAACACTACATATTATATTCTACATATATGCTACATATGGTAGTATCTCGCGAGTCTGATTGTGTGATTGTGTTTGTGAACTGATAGTCACTAACGCCACTACTAGTTACCATAGTTATACGCCACTGATAAGCGTGCTCAGATAATGACATGTTTAATAGCTAGCTGTCAGCACTTTTCTCACGGCACAGCTGCAATTTGAACCTGCATTTTTGTTTACTTGGAAACCCGCCCCTGCTTCCTTTAGTTTGAAACCCGCCCTTTGTTTTTGTAGTCGCGAACTCGCCCTCATTGGTCCGTTAAGTTGGAAGCCTGGTTTATGATCGAATGACTGCTCCTTATTTCAACTTCCCAGTAGTGGAAGTGATTCCCAGGTAAGCGCTGGTTTAGTGTACACTATTGCTTATATTCAATACAGTCATACGATGTTGTTATGTGTTGTTGTGTGCAGTACCGGGTGTTAATAGTTCTGGAATTTGTAATAATTTATAGATTTTTGTCATGCCTGATGTTTAATTCTTGAGATCAGTGAGAAAATGTTTACGAAAACACAAATAATTGTATCTTAATCCGTTTATTGTAGTAAAATGCGTCAAACGCCTTCAAACACGACGTACATCAATTTAATTTCCGCAGACCAAAAATAATTTTTAACGTAGCGTTTACTAATAACAACCAGCATCTCCGTGACTAACACAAGTATTTACAAGTCTTAATTAACTCCTTTTACCATTAATCACTAAAGCACTAAGCTTTGGTTTCCCTCACATTACAACAACAGTATCAGTAGTTAATAACTACACAGGGTTATTTTATAATTATTACCGCTTATCTGAACGTCTTATCCGTTACAATGGTAAAGTTTTGATATTTTACCATTTCTACTTTCACATAGCCATGTGTACTGCTTATCAAGTAAAAACATTTCATTTTAGGGGAAACTACATTCGGTGGAAGAGTGAAATTCTTTGAAATAATTTGCTCATAATGAATAGTGAAATAAGTTATTAATTGATAGTGAAATGTAATTAATTGAGTCCCCTCACATTCGCCCACCCTTGACTACTATTAGTTACCATGGTTACCCTTGATAAGTAGTACACTACTAGTTACCATGGTTACCCTTGATAAGTAGTACACTACTAGTTACCATGGTTACCCTTGCCAGGAGACACCCAGCACACGAAGATGACAGAGTGATAGTGAAGATAGTGACTAGTTTTATCTTCATGTTCCTGCCTACTCTAATGGGGGTAGGGGTCTGGGCGGGATGTCTCCTCCACTCCTCCCGGACCTGGTTCGAGGTGGTGTTGGACTCTCCTCTCAAACTAGAGTTCTACATCTTCGGAGGGGTATGGTGTGGTGAGCGAGATATAATTTATAATTTCTCTCTTTACATTTATTATTGACTGCCCGTTAAATACCAAGCAAGTGAAGAGAGCTTGATAAGGTTCACTGAACTGAATATTTCCTTGTGTTTGAACTGATTACATTACCACACACCTTCTCAGGTATATACGGGACCCTAGGACTGGGAGTGTTCATGTCCTGGTACCAGATGGGGTTCAAAAGAGGGGTTCCTTACATCTTACTGGGCTGCACCGCCATTCTTATAGCACTCAGCTACCCTCCTCTCCTCATTGTGGGGCACTGGTTCCTTCCTTCTATGGCAGTCATAGGTTAGTTAATGTGGGGCACTGGTTCCTTCCTTCTATGGCAGTCATAGGTTAGTTATAGTGGGGCACTGGTTCCTTCCTTGTATGGCAGTCATAGGTTAGTTATAGTGGGGCACTGGTTCCTTCCTTCTATGGCAGTCATAGGTTAGTTATAGTGGGGCACTGGTTAAGTCAGCCACAAGTAAATGTCGTACCCCCCCCCCCCCCCAGCTAACAAGTAAATATTGTACCCCCCCCCCCCCCCCCCCCAGCTAACAACCTCTTTCTCTCAGGTTCTCTCTGGTTACTACTGGTGATGTGTATAATGTGTTTCTCGAGAGTCAGCGTGTTTTCAGGAGTTTCTATTTTACCTGCACTACTCTGGACCACATACACCGTCATGTTCACATTCTTCCCCTTCTACGATCAGTATTTCGCAGAGGAATCAGGAACAGGCTGAAGAAACTACATAACGTGATGTTCCGTCATTATGTGACGTCATAGCATGTGGTGTGACGTCATAGCATGTGGTGTGACGTCATAGCATGTGGTGTGACGTCTTAATACGTGCTTTGACGGTTAAAACTTGACGTTTTGACAAATGGTGTGTTTTTGACATCTCAAGTCAGATAGAGAATAGTAGTAGAGACTCGTCAGATATGTTATCCAACGCGAAATATCAGGTGTCTCAAAAACTGAAAAATAGGCTTGAATTGGTTTTATTTACAGCTATTTCAGAAGACAAGTTAGACAATGTGAGATAGATTAGCCACTATCAATTGCAGGATGATTATTTCGTATGCATTTCAAATAGCAGAAACAAATATATGAACGTGAAATGATTACAAATTTCAACTTCAAAAGTAACTGTTGATTGCATAAATAGATTTTTATAAATTAATAGTCGAATAATCTTTGCTGTAAAGATGAATATTCAGTTGAAAAATTTAAAATATAAGCACGTTTTATTGATATTCCAGAAGAATAAACTTAAAATTTTTTCACTTGAATAATGAATATTAAGAATTTGAATAAAATGCACAACACAATCAAGCAGTTGCTTAAAAATTGAATTTTATGGTTCTGATTAACGTGAAACCAGCCAAAAACTCAAAGAAATAAAACTGACTAAAAAGAATTGAGGGTGAAATCTACTGCAATGTAAAAATATTCGCTCTTCGATATTACTATTAGCAAACTGTATAACATACTGTGAAAATCTTACTCCGGGACAAATAGTGTTCGAAAAATTAGGTCGAACCAGATTAATACCTGATTAATACCTGATCAATACAGATTTTCGTGCTCATAATAACTTAATATGATTACACTTAGTTACACATGTTTACACTTAGTTGTACGGCGTGAGACTGAACCGGAGTTAGATTTTTACTGTAATAACAAGAAATATTATGTAAATAGTAAACACAAAGTTCTAAATAGTAATACACAATATTTCCTGCTTTTCATCTTATACTAAGCCAGATCAATATATACAAATTAATCGAATCAATTGCAAATTTTGAATATGTTTTAATACTTTCAATTTGTCCAGTGTGAAACATAACACCAGCCTCGCATTTCTAAACAAGCATATTTAAATTGGAAACTTAATGGTTATTGTAGACTTTTGTATTTTTGACAAAATATAACCACGGCGCTTAATTAAAATTTAACTAATTTGATATTTCATGCCACAATTATAAACACCCATATAACTGCGTCGTGACTGTATTTTGCCATCTTATCCTCAAAATCAAATCGTTTGTATTCTGTCCCAACCCGGACCGATAATTCAAGATAGGAACTAACGACAAAATTTACAAAGGAGCAAACAAACAACACTGTATAAAGTATATATGCCTGAAAACTTCTTACTATTGCATCAACATTTATAATTATAAGTAGCAACAGCTAAGAAGTTAAGCAGATTATTCATTTGGATAATCTGACACCACTGCAGATTAGTGTGACGACATTGGAGCTGAAAGTGACGTCATAACACCGTCACAGTGCGCCATGACACCGTCACAGTGCGCCATGACATCACGCACAAAGCTGTTTACTGGTATTTCAGGTCGAGTGGTTTATTGATCCTCTTCTCAATCTCGTACCGCTCAGCTCTGCTCATGTTCTCCCGCTTGTTTGTGAATCTCCTCTGGACCTCACGCTCGAAGTTAACTTTGGAGAGATGTGGCATTCTGCTTGTGTTACCACAATACGCTCCTGAAACACGGTTATTTTGATAAAGGAGCACAATACGCTCCTGAAACACGTCACCATATCAGGCAAGCATAGTATTCTGACGTTGCAAAGTAATTTCTTCTCAAAAATCGTTTAAAAAATGAAATTCCAATTTTAAAACACTTTTTACATGGCTCTAGAGGGCAAATAATTAAAGAAAAAACGTGGAATAAAAACTAACAAATTTCTTAGAAATACATAATTAAACGGCTATGAGGACATAAATGAAATAAAAATCCAAAGTAAATTTATATGCCGTTAGTAAAGTTAATGTTTGATAATTAATCATAATTATCAAACATTATCATCAGGATCATGATGAGATACTGAAGATAAAGCCAAATTATTATTTGTCTGTATAGTTATATTTATATTTCAAACCATTGCTTTTTGTGTTAAATTTTATTGATTTGCAAAATAATTTATGCTCATGCATATCCACGAACTATTCGACATAATTTTATTCAACGTATGTAATACAATTACAATGCGTATATGCGCCGCGCGCTGACAGAAACAAAATGATTGAAATTAATGTCAAATTTCGCGTTGGATAACTTTCGACGTTCTTACGGCCAAGTATAATAACGGGAAATAACCAAAAAATAGTCCATTTAGTTTTACACCACTCTTAAAAATTCATCTTATTCATCAATTTTATCCATCCTTTACCTTTTTAATACCGATTCGCAACAAGCCGGTATGGTATAAAATTGATACCGAAGAGTGTGTTGTTATTTTACCTGTGTTGATGTTAGAAATTGCCCCGTTTGGCTGGTTCATGTTGCTAGATGAGCTGGGAGGGGTGTACTTGACATCTGTAGATCTGGATTTGTTGTTCATGTTGTAGCTGCTTCCTCCGTTCTTCTCCGCTGAAACAGCAACAATTCAAACAACAGCAACAACAACCTGACCTCGCTGTAATTTATTAATAATAATCCTGTCTTCCAATTATAGCTAGTTAGTACAGGAGATTAGGAAGATGATTGAAAGTTTGTTATTATGGGCAACATTAGGAACCACGCATTAGGTGCCACGCAGTGACAACTCATGCTAATTGCCACTCATTTCCGACATTACGAAATCAATTCTGTAAATCAAATTTGTAATTACAATTGTCAAAGTTATTTTGTTTGAGATTGTACCAATATGCTTAAGACGAGGAATATGTAAAATCTTCAGAGCTGGTCGGGAAAACAACGGCTGACAGGGCAATATGAACGAATAAATGTTGCTCCTTTATCAAAATGAGCGTTACAAATGTTCAGTAAATACGGATCACGGTGGGCAATTGTTCAGCCTCACTCTTCTCTTAAGGGCTGATTAGTATTATCAGGTTAATGGCTATAAGGCACGCTGTCTCACAAGGAATAAATTCAAGTGTCACATGTTTTACTATTACAAATTTCGCAGTAATCGCACATTTTTAACGCTTATTTTGATAAAGGAGCACATTTTAATGCGCCCAATAGCAATATAAGACAAAATTCCTCGACAAATTCCGGACACGTCGCAGCTGGCATTAAAGTTATGTTATTCCTTTGTTTTATAATTTTGAGCTCTGTCATGCCGCAAGCCACATGATAGTACCACGTGCTTTTCTGTTAGAGCATTACGTAATCTCACTATTCCAATTCTCCGAACTAACCATTGAGTGTTAGTAACCTAGTAACCAGCATTAGTAACCTAGTAACCAGCATTAGTAACCTAGTAACCAGTATTAGTAACCTAGTAACCTATTAACTAACCATTGAGTGACATTGCAAAAATAACAGCCTCCAGAAATGAGCTCATCTTTAGACCAGGTCAGCTAACAAAAATTAGAATGACAATAAAATGACGAAAAATTGGATATGGCAATCAATGCCGGCTCAATCCAGTACGAATCGCTGCAGTAACTAACAATAAAAACAAAAAAGTACAACTCTCTTATTTCTTCAAAGTAAAGCACTCTTGTTCAAAGTACAGGAGTGTACGCTGTAAGATTTTACAACAGATCAAGCACTGAAGTTTACTGTGACCAGTTCTTAGAGCGGACTAGAACTGGATTAGAAGGCGCAATTATGACGGACGGTAAAATCGAGCGCTGCTGAAGAGATAAAGCACAGACGGCTGCGTTGCTTCGAGACTTTAATAAAACCCATATTATGCTGATGAGCGTATTTCACTGAATCACCGAACTTTGAACTTGCTAAAAACGGATGCAACCTTAGATAATAATTAGAACAGTACCAGCTGGTAGGTAATAAAGATTACATAAAGCATCTGATATTTACCGAAATCATTTCTGGGCCACAACTCAGTTAAAAGTTCGATGGTTCAGAGTTATTGATTGGAAGTGGATCGTTGTTCAAACATATGACAGGTACGGCGACTTGCAAATTCCCGACTCTAGACAAATAACAACTGCTTTTTTATGCGGTTTTAGACAGCTGAGCAGAATTCAGTCAACCACGGAAAGTTACCCTAGATGAACTGATGGCGCTCAAACTAGTTAGTCATTGGGAGAGTAGTTAGAATTAATGTCTTCGGTTTAAACACAAGTGCAAAGGGGAGGAGCCTGGTGGTCAGCAACCATTAGTGCTCCTTTATAATAACTTTCATTAGTAAATTGAGTCCTAGTACAAATCACCCTTCATTAGTACAAATCACCCTGGTTAAGAAGGTAGCTACTAACTAGCTAGAAGGTCTGAAATATGGGGGTAGCTACTCAGGTGCTGCTCTGAACAGGAACTACATTCCTGCAGCAGGGTGCTATCTTAATGGAGCTATAACAACCACACTATTATATAGTTAGTATCTCTAATGTATTGACACTGCACCTACCTAGTGACCCAAATCATTCGTTGTTAAAGGGTGGAACAAGATCTGAGCCGAACTAGCTAGCTGACGATGCGATATCGAATATCTACACTTTTACATTTACTGCATTAAATGAAGTATCTATCAGAGATTGCAATACTATTAGTGATGCTGCTACTAGTACTAGAGCTACTAGGCTTTATTATAGTAGGATCGGAGGAAGCAAGCCCAGCTACTGCAGCTGTAGTACAGTCTGTACCAGTGGGTGCAGGATTATAAGCTACTAGTTGCTAGTAATACTACTGCAGATATACAGTCTGTAGCTAGTAATACTACTGTGTATCATTAATGTACTACTATAAGTATAAGCCTCTCGGATCCTATAGACCACTAATTGGCTGCATTAAAATCATATCACAGAGGCACCTAAATGCAGCAGATTACTGTTTAGCACATTAAATGGAAAATAGAGCAATATAAAGTTTGTCCAATATATTCTCTTCAATTCTACCCATCTATATGCGACAAAAGAAACGCTATCTTAAACGCGAGGAGAAGACTCCTCGGACCTGTGCTCATGTTTATATGCAACTCCTGGTTACCCATCAAAGCCAGTTAAAAAATAAATAACGATAATCATATTATAGCAGCACACTTTTAATTGGAAGTTAATAAATGGACCCGGATTCAGCTGAGAAACAGTAGCTTAAGCGCCCCTCTCATCACAAATACCTGGAGTCCTGCCAAAAGCTGAAAAGAATGGGCAACTATTAGTTAACATGCAGATAAGAATGGGATTGTAGAGAGTACACGTTAAGATTAGGCAGATAACAAAGCTGCCTATCACACAGCTACTCTAAGTGGAGTCTGCAGCCTCACTAATCCGCCCACGTGCACATCACGTGATCAGCACGTGGGCGGATTGCATCACGTGATCAGCAAGACAAAAGCTGGCGACATGTGAGCCTTAACTAACCCTTGTTGCTCCAAGACGATTAGCATTTGTAGAGCACAGTATGTGACATGGACTAGAAAAGTAGACTGGAGAATACACTCCTGCAGTACTGAGTGAAAGGCATAACGTTGCCCCCCCCCCCCTGCTGCCCCCCTGCTGCCCCCCTCCCCTCCCCCCCCCCCCCCTGCTGCAGTAGTAGTAGCAGGTAAACAGTAAACACCCATAGTGAGCTAGTGCCTGTCCTCTACTAAAGACAAGATACACACAGAACCCTGGATCAGAGTGATCAGAAGATTGTATTTAGACAATACAGTTGTAGTATAGAGGGGACAATGCTGCACGTGCTAACACACACAGACCACGTGCTAACACACACAGCCCACGTGCTAACACACACAGCCCACGTGCTAACACACACAGCCCACGTGCTAACACACAGTGAGTAATACACTGCACATTCTACGTCACACGTCAATCACAATCACGTCAAGTATTCCCACTTGTTACAAGTACAGGTTGTTTGTGACAGAAGAATAGATGAATAAGAAACAATACACTTGCTATAATAAAGGCAGTATGCTTCTTGACACTGCTAAATAGTGAGAGAGGAAGAAGCGCAAACAACACAGTACTAGTAGTGTAGGGATAATGTCAGTACAAACTCAGCTCGCTGATCAGGTATAATGATAAAATGATGCTGGCTAACAAGCACACAGAACTAGCTCACAGTAAGCTTGAGTCTGCCTGATCTCTCAGCCTATGTACTAGAGTAAGCTCACAGAGCGAGTCTGTCTGATTATCCTGTATAAATTGCAGTGCAGGAATATCCATTTCCAGCAGACTCATCCGACTGATTGCCTGCTACTGTATTACTATTACTACTACTACCTGTATTACTACTACTACCTGTATTACTGCTACTAGCTGCAGCTTTCTAGCTGCCTGCTACTGTATTACTACTACTACTACTACCTGTATTACTGCTACTAGCTGCCTGCTACTGTATTACTACTACTACCTGTATTACTGCTACTAGCTGCCTGCTACTGTATTACTATTACTACTACTACCTGTATTACTGCTACTAGCTGCCTGCTACTGTATTACTACTACTACTACTATACCTGTATTACTGCTACTAGCTGCCTGCTACTGTATTACTATTACTACTACTACCTGTATTACTGCTACTAGCTGCCTGCTACTGTATTACTATTACTACTACTACCTGTATTACTGCTACTAGCTGCCTGCTACTGTATTACTATTACTACTACCTGTATTACTGCTACTAGCTGCCTGCTACTGTATTACTACTACTACTACTACCTGTATTACTGCTACTAGCTGCCTGCTACTGTATTACTATTACTACTACCTGTATTACTGCTACTAGCTGCCTGCTACTGTATTACTATTACTACTACTACTACCTGTATTACTGCTACTAGCTGCCTGCTACTGTATTACTACTACTACTACTACCTGTATTACTGCTACTAGCTGCCTGCTACTGTATTACTACTACTACTACTATACCTGTATTACTGCTACTAGCTGCCTGCTACTGTATTACTATTACTACTACCTGTATTACTGCTACTAGCTGCCTGCTACTGTATTACTACTACTACTACTACCTGTATTACTGCTACTAGCTGCCTGCTACTGTATTACTATTACTACTACTACCTGTATTACTGCTACTAGCTGCCTGCTACTGTATTACTACTACTACTACTACCTGTATTACTGCTACTAGCTGCCTGCTACTGTATTACTATTACTACTACTACCTGTATTACTGCTACTAGCTGCCTGCTACTGTATTACTACTACTACTACCTGTATTACTGCTACTAGCTGCCTGCTACTGTATTACTATTACTACTACTACCTGTATTACTGCTACTAGCTGCCTGCTACTGTATTACTACTACTACTACTACCAGCTGTATTACTGCTACTAGCTACAGCTTTCTAGCTGCCTGCTACTGTATTACTATTACTACTACTACCTGTATTACTGCTACTAGCTGCCTGCTACTGTATTACTACTACTACTACTACCTGTATTACTGCTACTAGCTGCCTGCTACTGTATTACTACTACTA